GAGAGAGAGAGAGAGAGAGAGAGAGAGAGAGAGAGAAAGAGGAGAGAGAGAGAGAGAGAGAGAGAGCGCTCTGGTGTTAGAGTCCTTTAGACTTGGATTTGAGTTCTGCTTCTCTTTCTTATTAGCTACAGCAGATATCTTGATTTCTCCCCATTTCTGGTATTTAGTCTGCTTATTCAAAACTAGGGGTGTTGAGCTGTATCAGTGGTTCTTGACCCTCACTGGGCATCATAATCACCTGGGAAATTTTTAAATAATACTGATGCTTGGGCTCTATGCCCAGATGCTCTATGCCCAGATTCTGATTCAGTTGGTTTGGAGTGGGACCAAGTCATCAATATTTTTAAAAATCACCCCAGGTGATTCCAATATGCAGCCAGGGTAGAGAGCCCCAGAGCTAGAAGATTTTGTGGGTTCCTCCAGTTCTGCAGTTTGGCAGTGTTACTGGGCACCTGCAGTCTTCGCCCATGGAAGGAAGTTTTAGGAGCGAAAGCCAGAGGAACAGTGATGCCAAGCCATCTAATCAAAGTGTGCATTATCTCAAATGGTGCAGAAAATGTCAGTGCCAGTTAATATTTTGCACCCAACATGATTTAGACCCGGGGCATATATTGTACTTCAAGTCCATTGTAAACACAATGGGCCATTTATTCACTGAACAGTAACCACTGTAATTACCTACAGGGCAAACATATGAGGTTGTTCAAGCAACAATTAATTGTGGACCTGGAACTAATGGGACAATAGTGGTAAAGTATCAACCAGAGTGTGATTCAGAAATCACATCAGAAAACCAACACTTTCCGAATTATATTAGATAGGCTTTTTTGGGGATGTGATGGCACATCTACCATCCTGGGTCCTGAAATAGTTGCTCCCTGATTTTTCTAATAGCTCCTTCCTCCACCGGTACTGTAGGAGGCTTGAACTGTTGTTTTAATCTTGAGAGGAGAATCGCAAACACTAGGTTTTAGGGGACTGAAGAGAGTTTCTATTTCTTGTACTCAACTATGGAGCCAAACTATCCCCTGCACGCAGGGGTGCTGATCTTCTTTGTGTTATGGGATCCTCTTTGTGAATCGGATGGAAGCCATGGATCCTCTTTTCAGAAAAATGTGTGTGTTTATATGTACATACAGGCCCACTAAAGCTTTTTCATACAGTTTTCTGGGAGTTCACAGACACCTTGAAGCCCCTCAGTGTGCTCTCTAAGTTATGGTCCAACCTCTGCTTGTATACCTCTAGACACAGGGATCTCACCACTTGCAACGGCAGGCCTTCCATTGCTGGACAATTCTGAATGCAAGCGTTCCTCAGTGTGTCCAGCTGAGATTTTCCTCTCTGCAGGCTCTTCCCTTTTGTCCATATTCTACCCTCAATTTTTTTTTTAACAGTCATTCTACCCTTGACCTTTACCAGTCGGGATGATGTCCCTGTATTTGTGGGGATCTTAGAAATTGGTTCCCAGCTCTCTAGTTCCAAGTCACATCTGATGGGCAGTTGTGCATTCAGCTCCAACAGATGGGAGCTGTTTAGGCTGCTGAGTGGACACAGGAAATCCAGGGATCGTAGGTAGTGGCTGTCTGCCCTCTGAGCCAGACCAGAACTCCACTGCCCTGCTCTGCTGAAGTCTTGGGAGGAAAAGAAAGAGTGTTTCCTCAGATGACAGGAGAGGGAGTAAAGAAAGCATCTTCATCTGGGGCCTGAGGGTGTCAGGATGTTGTTTCCCTGGATGCTGAAATTGCATTCTGGGATGTGTTGGATCTGCAACTGCTGCTGGGACAGGCCAGGGTTCCAGGAGAAAGCCAGTGGCAGCAAAGAGGGATCTTGCTTTAGCTGTGCCCTCTCTGGATCAAAGATTTAAATGAAACAAACAAAAACAAAAAAAGAAGGAAGGAAGGAAGAGAAGAAGGGAGGGAGAGAGGAATGGAGGAATGGAAGGAGGGAGAGATGACAGACCATGAAGGAAGAAACCATGAAGGAATTCTTTTATAATCTCAAAGTAGGAACGGCCTTTCTACATATGACACCAAACCAGAAGACATAAAATCTAATAAATTCAACCACATTAAAAAGAAATTTCTATATGGCAAAAGATACCATAAGAAACATCAAAAGAAAAAGTACAAACTGGCGGGGGTGGGGGTGGAGATGGGGCAGGGGAGGTAGGGAATAGCAACTTATATCACAAAGGGCTGTTTAATGTAAAAGATCATTTCTACCAACTGATAAGAAAAAGATTCAAATTGAAAAACAGGCAAAGGACGGAAACAGTTTCCAAAAAGAACCTGCAAATTTCTCTTAAACATAGGAAGAGATATGCACTCTCACTCTTAATAAGTTAAATGCAAATTAGACAGACAACAAGGTACCATTTTCCCACCATCAGACTGCAGAGATCAAAAAGTTTGATAAGCACCTTCTGTGGATGAGGCTGAGGGGAAGGGAGAACAGAGATCAGAGGAAATGTTATGGAAGAGGTGACATTTAAGCTGGGCCTTGTAGGACAGATAATTAAAATCCAATTTAGCAACTTACTGGCTCTTAAAAGAAAAAGAAGAAACAATAAAGGGAAAGATGGGCAGATTTGACTACTGAGTATAAATTAAAATACACACATACAAAATGATAAAGCAAGCAAACTGGGATATTTGCAGCAACTGTAACAGCCTGAGTTTGAATGCAATACAAATAAAAGTCTTCATTAAACTCAGTAAGAAAAGCATTAAAACACCACTCAAAAGAAACAAAAGACATGAAAAAGCAATTCCTAAAATAGGATATACTACTAGTAACGACCACATGGAGAAAAGATTAAACATTATGCATAACCAATGAATGCAATATGATTCCAGTTTTTCAGTGACAAATCATTATAAAATTAGATAGAAAAGTGTTTTTATTTCCCTCTGTTGACAAGAATGTGGTGAAATTGGCCCTCTAATTATACCAGGCTAGTGGGTGTGTAAATTGATACAATCCTTTTTGGAAATAACTATCAAGCCTTTAAAAACTTGTGTTTTTTATCTGGGAAATTTTATATCACAGACTTGATCCTATAGAAATAGCCTGAAATTTAGGGGGGAAAATGCTGTGCACAGGTTGCTTGTAGAATAATATGACAGTAATGACAAGTTAGAAGCAATCTAAATGCTCCCAAATTAGAGATGGTTCAGTAAATTCATATTTTTTTTAAATTCAAATGGTATTTTCATATACTGGAAAATTACACAGCTTTTAAAATGTTTATAAGGAGTTATTAACAGGATGGTTAAATGCTTGGAGGATAATGTGAGGTTAGGGAAAAAACAATTGAATTGTGTATGTAGAATAATCTCAAGAATCTTTCTGAAAAACAAAATCTCTGTGCATGGAAAAAGGACTAGAAGGAAACAGACCACAACATTAATGGTGGTTCTTTGGGGGAGGGGTATCTTATTGGTTTATTTTTTTCCTTCTTTCTCCTCATTTTGCATTTTAAAAAACATTCTCTTCCATGATAATGTGTTGCTTTTACAATAAAAAGGCTTAAAAACATCTTGCATTGTGTGTTTGTTCCCCAAGTCAGAACTAAAGGTCTCTGTTCAGAAAGATCCTGGGCTCAGAGCTGTGAGGCCCACCAGTGAAAGTGTCTCTTTTGTGTTTTTCAGCTCTCCTTTGCTGCGACCACGCCTGTTCTAGCGGATAAGAAAAAATATCCTTACTTCTTCCGGACCGTCCCGTCAGATAATGCGGTGAATCCCGCCATCCTGAAGCTGCTGAAGCACTTCCAGTGGAAGCGAGTGGGCACGCTCACACAAGACGTGCAGCGGTTTTCGGAGGTACGCGGTGCTGAGGGGACACGCTCTCACCTACCCGTTAGCCGGTGTCATCTCCAAGCCAGGGGCAATATGGCTGCATCAAGGATGGGCCATATCACAGGGCTTTTAAGCACGCTTTTATTAGGAGTAGCGAAGTTGTTTTACCATTGACAAAACAGAGCTGCTGGTGGAGGAATCTATGCATGGGACAGGTGACAGGCTCCATCTTAGATAGCTCCAGGGTGAGCCCTTCCCTTTCCTTGTGGCTTTTCGCTAAATCCTGTGAGTTATTCCCTCGCTACCCCTGTAGGTTTGTTGTTCTTGCTACCAATGCTGTAGTGACCATCTAAAATCGTGATGTGCCACCAACGGCACTTTTCCTGTGAGGAAAGTTTTGGGGAGCAGCTAGTTTGAAACAAAGACTCCAGTGTCACCGTCCATTGGGTGGACTTTTTGTTTGATTTAATGGCTTATAAACATGCATCATACATGGCGATTTCGTTTTTTGCTTTGGTTTGTGTTTTGCAAAAAAAAAAAAAGTGTTAAAATATATATACTAAAATAGATAGATAGCTAGATAGATAAAAGGGTTGCTGTACCCAATTGCCCTAAATCTGATATCCTCTTCCAAGTGAACCCCTGCTCTCAATTTGGCATTCATCTGCCCAGAACTTTTTCAATATATTTGTTTAAACACAATTTCATACTATATACAGAGTGTGCCAAAAAATGTATACACATTTTAAGAAAGGAAAAAACTGTATTAAAATTGTAATAATATATACCAATAGCAAAAGATGAATACAAGTCACATTTGACTTCTGCAATTACAAAAAGTACTCAAAGTAATTTCATCAGAGTAATTTTTAATACAGTTTTTTCCGTTCTTAAAATGTGTGTACGCTTTTTTGGTACCCTCCGTATTTTGCATTTTTCACTTTACAAGAGACCTTAGAGATTTTGATTGACCTCACTTACTAATGGGCCATGGTGTTCTGTCAGATGGATAGATGGGAATTTATTGAACCAGATCCCTATGGATATTTACAGCTTTTTGATATCACAGCCAACACCTTCCTGCCTGGTGTGCATCTTTGTAGTAGATTCCTAGAAGTAGAATTACTGGGTCATTTAAAATATTGAGACAAATTGATTTCTAGAAAGGCCGTTCCAACTTCTAGTCCTACCACTGTGTTTGAAAATTCCCATTTCCCCACATCCTTGCTAAGAGTGGATATTAGCAGGGTTCAAAACTTTTCCTGCTCAGATGAGTGTAAAATGGTCTCTTGTCTTTCTTCCCATTCTCCTTATAGCTCCTACTTTCCTTTCCCCTTCCATATGTGCTCTTGAGAGTTGGAGCCTCCCAACAAGGCAAGATATTCCAGGTGTGCTTAGCTGCCCAAGAGAAAAAAACTGAGTGATGTGGGGCTGATTGTGTGAGTCAGGTGCCCAGGTGGACTTCAGTGGGAGGAGCTGAAAAGGACCCGCCCCTTTTGGCATCCGGGGTGGGAGGTGGCAAGGAGGGTGAGGGCAGAGAGGTCTGGGAGTCACCAGACCTGGTTTCCACTCCAGCCGTGCGCTTCCTTTTCAGAGGCTCTGCCCCATCTCTCACATGGGCAGGGGAGGCCCCTGGAGGCATTGGCTGTGCAACCTTGGAAAAGTCACCTTACTTCTTTCAGCTGCAGTTCCCACCCCTATGAAATGAGGACAATAACTCTTCCCATGGCTTCCCTACAGGGCTCTTGCCAACATCAGATGAGTCATGGATTTGAAAAAGCTTTGTAAACTGTCAAGTTCACGCACAGAGAGGGATGTTTTGGGAGGTGCTTGAAAAGCAGAAGTGTTTGGCCCCACCATCTGTGGTTATCCAAACACAAGCTTTTCCCAGGCAAAACTGGCCCTCAGCTTCCCACCTCTCTGTTTCTCAGTCCCTAGGGAGAGTCACAAAGGGAACTTGACCTCCAAGGGGAATGACTCATTGCCAAACACTGAAGAGGCTTTTGCTGGAACACTGCCCTTTACAGCGGTGAGAAATGTTCTAAAATGCGTGTGAAACAGGTTGATGGTGAAGGTGGAGAGGACCAGCTCTGTGGCCCCATTAACACAGGACTCTGCAGCAGTTTGGAGGGACCTGCTTTTTTCCAATAGAGTCTTTGGCTGTCAGAGCCTGTGGAGCCCTTAGAGACACCTCCCCCAACCACCTCATTTTACAAAAGGGGAAACTGAGGCTCAGAGAGGGGGAGGGACAAAGTTCAGGGTTTCAGAGCACCTCCAAAGTCATGACAGATTATTCACAGGAAAGTCAGAACTGAATCCCAGGTCTGGACTCGTAGTCTACACTTTTCCTTCCTCCTTCTTTCCATCCACAACTTCCTGTAGTTACATGGGAACTGCATGCGACCTCGGAGGTTTGAAAAACCTGAAAGCCTTGCTCTAAAGAGGATAGAATTTCAGCCCCAACTTCATTGAGTGCTTTATGGGTTCCCCAACACTTTCACAGCTCACCGTCTTGTAGGGAGAGCTTATGGTTCCCGTTTGACAGATGAGGGAACTGAGGCTGGCAGAGACCGGTGGCTTCTTACCCCAGGGCATGTTGCTGGTAAAGAGCCCAGTAGAGGCTGGAAGCCTGACCCTCCAGACTGTCGGTCAGTGTTTTCTCCCTGGGGTCAGGTACTGAACAGCTTGGTACCACATCTCTGCCCCTGCAAGCTGTGTGTGAGGGCCCTCAGCCTGGTTTCAGGGCATCTCCGCGGGAAACCTTTTCCTGAGGACAGGATGTTGCTTGGTGGTATTGCTGGCAAGAACCCCTCTCAATTTAAGTCTCTCAGCCCAGCTGACTCCTCTCTGTGCCCAAGGGCTTTGACATCCCTCTCCCGATGTCTGGGCTGCATTGCTGGAGTGCAGGCCCTTGGAAACTCGCCAGGGGCTAACAGCTTTCCATGAGTGCAAAGGAAACTGGATTCCTTTTATGAAGCTGGTCGATCAGCAGTGTCAAGCACTTCTGTTCTGGCCTGGTACACTGGAAGGAATGTCAAATGAAAGCAATCCTGAAATTGAAGGGGGGCTGGGGAGAGGGCTGAGGGCCGTCCCACCTTGGGACCAGCTGTTCCCTTCCAGCCCCCGGTCATTTAGATTCAAGGCCAGTGCATGGTGGCCCCGAGGCCCTTGGGTCTTGGATCAGATGTGCCGATCTCCAGGCCCAGCTTTGCCAAGCAGTGACTGTATAACACGCTGCAATTCACTTCACCACGATGAGGTCCCAGTTTCCCTTATGTAAATCCGGGAGATTTAGTCCCACCTCACAGGCACTGGGAGATGAGAGAGTCAAATGAGAAAACGCAAGTGAGAAAGACTTACGAATGGTCGGTGCTCATTCAGTGAGCATTCTCCATGCTACTAATTCATGGGACAAACTCTAGGAGTGCATATCCATTAATTCAAAAAATAATAATGCAGCCTGCAGTGTGCAAAGGTTTATGATGGGCAAAGAACAGAGGCCAGAGTGGAACGGACATGCCCTCGGGGTCAGCAGGGATCAGGCCTCCTTAGTTGGGTTCTCAACTCTGGCTGCGCATTAGAATCCCCAGGGGAAATTTTTATTTTTAATACAAACAAAATTTAAATTTCATAAGTTGGGTTTTGCCTTTTCCTTGTTTTCCCATTTTTAACAGTTTTATTGGGATATAGTTTATATACCATACAGTTCACTCATTGTTAGTATACAATTCAATTATTTTTAGCAAATTTAGAATGGTTCTGTACCATCACCACAATCCAGTCTTGCAACACTCCCATCACGCCCATCCCTCATGCCCAGTTTTAGTCAGTTCCACCCCCAGACTCAGAATCATGTGCTTGCTTCATAGTTTCACCTTGGCTGAAAATTTCAAATAGAATTACGTAGCATGTTCCTATTTGTGCCTGGCTTATTTCATTTAGCACAGAGCTTTCGAGGTTTATTCATGCGCATGTATCAAAAGTTTGTTTCTTTATACGGCTGAGTAGTATTCCCCTGCATGGATAGGGCATGTTTTAGAATCACCAGGGAGATTTACAAGTGCTGGTGCCCAGGCCACCCTCCAGAACAATTACATTAGATCACCCACCCTGACATTAGAACCCTTTGGGCTCTCCAGGTGAATTCCGTGTGCCACCAATGTTGATGTCCTTCACAACTGGCTCAGGAAGTCAGGGTGGAAATGACATGGTGGGAGCCCTTGTGTTCAGAGCAGCCCTAAGTATACATGGTGCCATGACTGCCCTCAGCAGGCCTGGTGACTGTGGGGCAGGGTGGAGAAGGTGGAGGATGGCCTTGACTCAGCACTGAGGCTCCGCCAGGTAGAAGATAAAGGGGGGCGGGACAAGGAACAATGAGGGTGTGGCTGAGAGGGCGGGCCCAGAACGGAGAGCACGTGCAGGCAAGTGGCCTGTGGACTTGGAGGGTGAGCAGCTCGGGAAGTCTCTGAGCAGCTTGAGGGGGTGGGGATGAGGGAGCAGGAAGGAGGGGAGGCGGTGGTCAGAGCTGGAGGAGGGATGCGGGATGGGGGGGCTGGGCCCCAGCTGTGTGTGAATCGCGGAAGCACACTGGAGGTAGAGGTCCCTGGAATTGGGAGCAAGGAAGTGAGAGGCCAGAAGCCTGGGTGACATCCACGTGGGCACTGCAGGTGCAGGATGGGGGCAGGGCTGGGGGTGGAAATGAAGGCAGTGAGCCGGGCTGCTTAGGAGGACCAGCAGACAGCAACAAGGGGACTTGGGCCCCTCCACCAGTTCCAGGTCCTGTCATCTGCTAACCCATCTTCACCAAGTTATTCTTTGGGTTCCGAATTCTGTGATGCAACTAACCAGCTAAGTGCTCTTGGACAAATCACTCAGTCTCTCTAGGCCTCAGTTTCCCCTTCTGTAGGATAAGGGAGTTGGGCCAGTTGACCACTAAACTCTCTCCTAGCAAAAAGAGTTTGTGATGAGGGCTCTGGGAGATTTCTCTGGCCATTGACCTCGATCTTGCCGTTCCCTGGGATGTG